TTTTTTCAACGTCTTTTCTTCCCACTTGGTCCTTTCCTTTCCATTTTCTGTCTTGTTTATGTAAATGAAGAGGTGGGAACTGATAATTTCTTGTTTTCATTTTTTTAGTGTTTGTTGGTTGGTTTTGTACAGTGACTTTTTTTTTTTTTTTTTTTGGTAAAGCATATGTGCTTTTGTATGAGTGAGGGGTAATGGAGATACTTTGTTACCTCTGGACTTGAGAGGTGGCTTTAGGCATGTTTGTATTCAACTTTTGGAACAAAGACTACCTGAACCCCTAATGTCTGTAATATCCAGGTAAAAATGAGGTGTTATTGACTGTGTTTTATACTATTCCCCTTGCACAGATGCACACTTTGTTATTCTCCTAGCTGTGAAGTATGAGAGGGTATCTTCTGTGTTAAGAGAAGATGCTTTCCGAACTGAGAGCATGAGAAACAGTCCAAACTTTGCTGAAAGCGAAATCATTTTCAAATAGAATTGTTAGGAAACTGTTGGCCTCCTGACTAAGGCAGTGTGCCATTTCAGACATTACTGAAGGTGATGAAAAGCAGCACTCGTGTGACAGGAGGAACAAGAATTCATGAGTTTAATTCTAGGATGTAGCAAAAGAGCATGACCACTTGAAACGCACACCTATGTCTTTGCCAAGACAACACAACATCCATATCTACTCTCAGTATAAAGGGTAACATCCTTTTAAAAAGCTTGCAACAGACATACTTTTGATGGCTTTAACTTTTAAGTCAGGTATTATATGCTATGCTTTGTTAATTTCTTTGGTTACAGAGTTTCACTCAATACGTATTTTTAGTTCCATCCAAAAGTGTTCAGAGTCATTAGGTTGGAGCTATGATGCCCCTCTGGTTTTGATCATCCATTGTTTTGGGCAGTTTTTTTTTTCCCTATTCACATACAATTCAAGTATCATCTTTGCATTCAACATAGTTTCCAGTGAAATATCTCAGTTTTTAACATAACTTTACATAGCATTGTGAGGAAATGTGTTATATTTATGGGAAATGCCCATACAAAATGAAGAATGCATGTGGACTTGCTTACCCATGCATGATGAGTAGAAGGCTATTTTACATTAGCCACCTCTTATAAAATTTCTGTCCACAGGAAAGTGGAAATTGTTACCTTCTTGTCTATTTACATGAAGCATTCTTTCTCTCTTCTCATTTTGCCAGCTCCCAGCAGTATTCAATGAGTAAAATGACTCTATTCATGGACCAGATTTCTCTATAGTAGCTGGGACAATATGCTTATCAAGCTCTTTTGTTGGCTTCTGGAAGAACTTTTCTGGGACAGGAATCATGAGAGTTTAGGTCTTTCAGCTGTGTTGGAGCCTTTTTAATGGAATCATTCTTTCTCTCATAGCTTGTTTTACTCCTGACACTCTGGTGATTTGGTACTCAGAACTGCAGGTTATGAGGCTGATCTAATAGCCAGTTACTGCAGGTCCTGTTCATCTTCATTGCTGGCTGCCCATTCCTGCTGTTCTTGTTCCAGAAACGGCAGTTGTCTCATACTACAGCTACTCAGTTTGGGAAGATGAGATAGAAGAAAAGGAAGTCTGCAAAAAAATGAAAAGTGTTCAGTTGGTTTAGCTTGGTGGGTCACCATGGGATCTGATGAGAAGCACAGCATTTGTTCCAGAGAGAAATGTAGGTGGCCAGAGGTGAGGGAAAGGAGAGGAGCACAGCTGCCTTTTTCTCCAGTAGCAAGCTGCTAGATGGGCGTTAAGTGATCTCCAAATCACTTCATGAGTTCTAACTAACTGCTCAGCCCTGTATATGAGGAGTTTGTGTGCTTAAGCTAGCCTCATAAGGATCTAGCCTTTCAAAGGTGCAGTTCCCCATAGGTCAGGAGAATGTCATGGAGCCCAGCCCAATCACTTCTGTGAAGGAGCAGAAGAGAGAATTGAATAATTAGAGAGGATGGCCTAATGAAATTAGCAGGAAATGGACCGTATGAATACACTGAGCATGAAAGTGAGAATGAATAGGAAATGGAAGGGGTTGGGATGACAAAGATTAATGCTACATTGCTAATGCATTATTTTTTTTTTTAATTTTTTTTTTCTTACAATCTCAGTCCCTACAGTCAAATGGTTACCTGGGATCTGTACTTTCTTTTTTTAAAGAAAGGTTCTAATACTTGTGATTGCTGAGAGTATGACTGAAGGGTGAGAAACACAGGGCAAATACAATAAAATAAACTTCTTATCATCTAAAGAAATGTGTATGTTTTGCAGTGTCTGACTCATACTTCTAGTACTTGATCTTGGCAATACTGCTTGGCTATAGATGTGCCAGGGAGTTAAAGGTGTCCTTAGCATTACTATTAACAGTGACTACTGTGCCACAAACTCCTTCATGAAGATTGCTTTATGCTCCAGTTTGATAGGCATTGCATCTCTGCTGACATTTGTATGAGTGGGGAAGTAAACTGATGATTGTGAAGGATTCCTCTGGACAGGTATCTATTTCAAAGAACAGAATTCTGAATGATAATACAAGTTCCGTCTTTCTTTTGCTGCACTAATGCAGAAAAGCTGCACCGTATTGTTAATAGAATTTGTCCTAGAAGTCTAAATAAGTGGAAGCTGTCTCTTCTGGAGCCTTGGGAGATGGTTCATAGAACTGAAAAGGAAGGGTAGTTTCATCTGTAGATGACCTTAGGAGAGAACCTGTGGAAGCAATTATAGATAGTGCAGTTAGGAAGAAAAAGGCAGATCCTGTGATAGTTTTGTAGAGATGGAATTGAAGAGCACGAATGTGGGTAAGGCTATAGTTTTGTTTGAAGGAGAAGAAAAGAGAGAGAGGATATGATTACTGGATTTCTGTGACCAGATTTACTGGCATTTCTCAAACTGAAATGTGTGCGTGCATGCATGTGCACGTGCTATGCAATGCATGTAGACACTCTGAAGCATTGGGACATACCTGAGAATCTCACGTGCGCTGGACAAAAGTTCTGCATAATTGCTGTAAGTGCTGTATGTTCCTGTTCAGACACATTGTAATAACTGCATGTGTCCAGGCCAGTTGGGCACGACACGCTCAAAACACCCAGTGTGACCTGGGTATTTATCTTCCTAAGCATTCTGAAGAATCTTGTCCTTCTTGCCTAATCAGGACAAAGCAGAAATGTCCAGGAAAACACAAGCTGAGGACAAAGCTAAGGTTTGCAGATGCTGGAATTCCTCTGGGTGTGCCATCATGAAACACCACTCATAATTGCACTGAGGACAAACCCTTCACAGGGCTAACCTTGGAGAGCAGACAGGCTGCAACTTACTTGCTGAGTATCTTTTTGTTGTGGTTTAGCCCCAGGTGGCAACTAAGCACAGCACAGCCAGTGTTCACTCCCTCCGCTCCTGCCCCCCTCTCCTCCTTCCCCGTGGTGCGGTGGGGTGGAGAGGACAAAAATGTAACAAAAAGCTGAGGGTCGAGAGAAGAACAGGGAGGGATCACCCACCAACCATGGCCCTGGCAAAACAGGCTTGGCTTGGGGACAAATCAATTTAATTCATTAGCATACACATTCATAGAAGATAATGAGAAACAAAGGCCAGATCTTAAAAACACCTTCCCCCATCCCTCCGTTCTTCCCAGCTCTACCTCCTCTGCCCCAGCAGCTCAGAGGGACAGGGAATTGTTGTTGCAGTTTTTCACGTGCTATTTCTCCTGCTCCTTCCTCCTCAGGGAGTGGACTCCTCACGTTCTTTCCTTATTTCAAGGTGTCTTTCTTATGGGACACAGTTCTCCACAAACTTCTCCGATGTGAGTCTTTCCCGCGGAATCCAGTCCTTATCCTTCAGACTCTTCCAGCAGGGGCTTTTCCTATGGAGCGACGGCTTCTTAATGTGCTGCCACCTGCCCTGGCATAGGGTCTTCCGCGGACTTCAGATACCTCTCTGCTCAACTGTTTCTCTCAGCAGAGTGGGGGTCTTCTCCCACGGGAGACAGTCCTCTATGAACTCCCTTAGGCACCGACATCTCTTCTCCAGCGTGGGCTTCTTCATGGGCTGCAGGTGGGTCTCTGCTCCACTGTTAATCTCCATGGGTGGCAGGGGTGCCACTGCCGTCTCACCACAGGCTGCAGGGGAACCCCAGCTCCGGCACACCTCCTCCCATTCCATCTTCACTGACCTTAGTGTTTGTGTGGCCATTTCTTGCAGGTCTCAGTCTTCTCTCTGCTGCAGCCGTGCCGGGCCTGACTGGCCCGACAAACCTCGGCAGTCCCAGCAAAACAAACGCTGCCCAGCAGGTGCCCTGCGAGCGGGGCGCTTCGGAGCGCTACAAGCCGCATTGCCACCACAGCCATTTCTGGTCAGTGGCAGCAGCCCAGCCTAAGCAGTTGTCCATGTCCTGTCCTGCCTCCCTGCTTTCTTCACTGCAGGTCCCCCCTGATGCCAGTTTCTCTTTCCCCTTCTTAAATATGGCATTCGCAGAGGTGCCGATCTGCTCGGCCCTGGCCAGAAGCAGGTCCAACTTGGAGCTGGGGAAGCTTCTCGCAGTTCCTTACAGGGGCTATCCCTGTAGCCCCTTCCCTGCTACCAAACCCCCACCACTTAAACCCAGCACACCTTTAAGACACATTCTTTTGCATGATGTAGAGCCTGCAGAAAAAAAAGAAAAAAAAAAAAAAGATGTTTCAGCGCTCCTCTTAAGTGTGCCTTGGTTCAGAATAATGTCAGTAGATAATAATGCCTGTAGTCTAATACAAAGTGTAAAACCGTGAAGCTATTTGGAGACAAAGGCTGAATGGAGACTTACCAATGCTGACCAAAGAAGGGATGCACAAAGAGAAGACTAAATTAGTAGGGGAACAGATTTAATCTAGATTTTTTGCACTGTGAAGCAGGAATACCTGAAAGAAAAAGATAGCAGGGAAGAAAAAAAAAGAACAAAAGAAAGTGAGAAACTCAACATAATTTGTTTTAGTCTGTGTTTCTCTATGATAATAGAAAAAAGACTGGAAGAATGAAGTTGGCCAAAATGAAGATCCTCTTAACATTTACTTAAACACTGAAGAAAAGAAGTCAGGAGAGGAAATAAAATATACAGTAGTTAGGGTACTGAAATAGTGGCCAGTTATCTGGCTGCTGTTCCTACGTCTGCTACTGCTGTCCTGCTGCATTATCACGTATTGTTCTGTGCTTGCGTTTCCCCTTCCTTTGTCTGTCTTGTTTGTCTGCACAGAGAGTGCAAACCCCTCTGGCTCTCACAGCCTTCACATGGTTTAGGAGTTTTCACAGCCAGGCCCTGAGCTCATTATGGCCCGTCTGCTTCCTCTTCTTTCCATCCCATTAATTGGTGCCACACGTTCAAAAAAATTGATTTCTCGTCCCTTCTCCCCGGCTCAGTGTGGCAGCTCCGGGCGCTGAGGAGTCTCAAGGCTGCAGCACGGTCCATGTGAGCATGTTGTGCTCCACAGGGAGCCCGGCTGCCGTTGGTGGGGCCCCGGTTTGCAAGGGGAAGGCCTTCACTCAGGCAGATTTAGTCTAACATTAAATTAATAGCAATCAAATAATCAGGAAGCTTTAATTAGGCAATCGCTGTCAGGGTTGGGAAGTTACTTTGCCATGTCAGAAACAAACAAAAACATGCACCAGTGATTTGCAGGCGTTGTTTTCTAAATAAAAAGCATTGGGAAATAAGATTAATAATGCTTTGGCTGTTATTAAAAATAGCTCTACAACCCAAAAATCTATCACATCTTCTGAAATCACCAGATCTCAGCCTCTAGAAATGAAGGGATTCTTATTTGCCTGAGCCATTGCAGTCTGGATGGTAGAAGTGTCTGATGAGAAATGATGGACCTAACTACAGTCCTAGTAGGTACAATTCAAATATTAGTCCTTAAATATTACCATTGCTACCCATGTAAATTTTCCATCGTTAGTACAGTAGTACTTATTTAAGTATCCTCTTAAAGCTCTAGCTCTCTTGTAAAATACACTCCTTTAGTCCTTTGTTTGAAGACCTAAGCCAGAGGACAGCTCATGGATGTTGCAGGTCGTGTCCTGGGTAGGTTAGCAAGGACATGGTGACTAGATCCACGGTGACAGTTTAGTCAAAGTGCAAATGACAGTTTTTAGAAATATGCCAGTGTTGTGTATGTGTTGAAGTTACCTTGTTTGGGCTAGAAAGTGATTTTAATAAGTTGATCCATATGAGGTAATTATTAGAAGTCGTGTGTTTTGATGACTTCTTTTAAAGCCATTTTTTTCCTGCTGTTTTTTCTCTTGGAAAAAGTATTTATTCATTAGCTTATATTTTTGTTACACAGAGACCAATATTAATATTTTTTCTTATTTCATACTTGTGCTTTAGATAATGTAAAAATTGCTTTAATGTTGCAATCCTATATGTAACTTAGCTAATCTATAACTTATAGAGTGGAACATATCTCGCTTATGTAAGTTGATATTTATTTAGCTGTCCCCATTATCTCAGACCTACTTTATTTGTGGGCATGGTATGATGTCAGCCTTAAGCCTGTGCAACCAATGCACTTGACCTCCCAGAGGCCAAACAGAAGTGTCCAACATCCTCTAATTTCAGAGGCTTTTTTCCAGCTTAATATTGACATAGTTCTCAGTTTTCAACTTCTCTTTAAAGCTAGTGTGAAGGTTTTTCACATCATGTACTTCGGTGAGGATTCTGTAAAGACTTGGGCATGCAAGTAACTTTTAAATGGAACAAATAATGAGTAATTCATGTGACAAATCATGAAGGTAAACTAATTACATGCTTCATTTTTTTTCAGTAGCATTAGATATGAATCTGCATTTGAATGAATCTTGTTTTCAGCCGTAAGTGTTGATATTATACTGAGAGGTACAAAAAAAAGAGATCCAAAGACATGATTAACAGTAGTTGGGTCACTTATACTTTATCTTAAGACTTTATACATCATATTTTGTGTTTGTCCTCAGGATGCAAGTTATGCTACCTTAAATTCTTTCATAATGACACACTGATGAGGAGATGTGAGTAGGTCTGAGAAATGTAAAATTTATAACCATTGGTTTTGGAAGATAGCGATTGACAGCAACGTACTATTTAGGGCTGGGTGGAAATATTTTATTCTTTTTTTATTCTTGTTGAAAAACACAGCTCCTTTAAATCTTTAAGTTTGATAAATTGAAATGTTTTGTTAAAGCAACCTGTAATGTTTTTGTGATGAGTTGATATTCAGCTGAACTTCCTCATTTGGCTGAATAGCTTGACGGAAGAATTATAGTTTGGATGTCTCTTAAGCTCCTACAAGCCCTCTCTGTGGCTTTACTATGCTGAGAACAAACCGATAAATCTTGTGTGGAAAACATAGGCCTTAAATATCAATGAGAGAAATTCTGTCCTCCCTCTTCATGGTTCTCTTTCACATTGAACAATAGTGATCACAAATACAGGCCATTCGTATAAAATTAAAGCACTACATAGGAATGCAAAACTAGGATATGTAGTTGTGGTGGTTGTTTTTTTTTTGTTTTCCAGAAGTAGTGTCAAGAAAGTCCATTGCTGGTAAAAAAGTGAGCATTAGTATTTGTGTAAAGCTAGATTATTGCTTTAGATTGGAAAAAGGAGCCCATTAGAACAAACTATTATGCCTGTGATGGTATTTCTTTCTGGAGATGGACTATTAAGTCGAATGGCTATTCTCAGAACCTTCAGAAGAGTGTCTGGTCAAATTTTTGGACTGGAAATAGCCAGACATTTACTCACTGGATAAATATCGCTATATCTTACTTATGTCCCATTGCCATTAGTGTTCAGCTGTAATTAGACTCCAGATATTTTGAGGCTTTTTTCAATTTTAAAAAATGTGAAATAATTGGAAGCATTTGAATTTAACGTGTTGCAAATAATAGCCATTATACTGCAAAAGTGCTTGAATGTGTTTTTTCCATGACTACTTATACAGTGTTTTCCTCTAATATTTGAGCATATGAAAATTTACTCTAGTGTTACACAAAATGGAACCTTGCCATTCTCGTAAGTCCTTATAATAATAGGTAACATTATAATAATCAAGAAGTCTTTCTCCTAGCATCTTTTTGCCCTACATTTAGTGGAGCATTGAGTTTATTTCTTCTAGTTTTCTGTGATATCAAAAGATTTTGTGAGCCTGATGTAGATCAAAAACATAATAATATATATGTGTTTATATTTGTGGGAAAGTGGAATGCTTTCTATGCCTCCCACCTACTGCATGACTTCTGCATTTGATCCAGTACTTAAGCATTCTTTTTATATTTTATACAAAGACTGTTAAAATAATCACATTCAAGTTGAAAGTCAAGCTGAATGAGTGTTACAGAATGTGTTTTTAAAGATTTGTGTGATTAGTGTGACATATATAAAAATGAACTACAGTAATGTTTGTATGAGCAATTATAAACTTAACTTCCAAGTGTTTGTGGTGGGTTGTTTTTGTTTTACTTTGAAGCATACTTTTGTTTTGACATAGGAAATGAGATTTGAAAAACAAACATGAAATTTATCCAAATCAAAAATGAAGATGACAAAACCCAGGTATGTGCTGTTACAGTCCAGGGACAGCTACAGCCCCAGCCTGAAGTTGAGTCTGCAGCATCGGTGCAGCTGTGTAGCGCTGAGTGTTTAGAAATATGCATTTGACATTGGACCATCTCTTCGATTAAACATGTGCCTGGCTGTAATCCATCGTATCTGATATCCATCGCATATTGTCGACAAGGTTTGATATTTTCCTTTGTAGAGTAACGCAAACACTGTTCTTTCACTTCTGCTAATCAGTTGTCTTTTGCTAGAGAGTTTTTTTCTGGACCACTCTTTTCTGGGCATGATTATAGCACATCCAGCCTCTGAGGAGGAAGTGTCTTGTCTGAAGCAAGTCTTCCAGTGACTCTTTCTGTGCAGAAGTTGCACGAGAATCTGCTCTTCCTCATGGTGCTCCAGAGGAAGAGACACGCTTTACAATTTGCCGAGTGTGGAAGGCGTGGGAGTAGGGTGAGAGGGTTCTGTCTCTTCTGATGGTGATTAGATCTCTCTGACTTGTAACATCACCTGTGTAAATACAATTTTGCACTGGTTAAAAGTATTTTTTTTAGTTCTGCGATTCCAGTAGCCAAACCTAGGTGAAAAGAAACCTCTCAAGTTACAGTTCCACGCAAGATGTTGTAGTTGTGTTTCAGAATAGGGAAGTGATTTTTCGATGTGGAAATAACTTGATTAATGCAGGACTGTCCTGATAGAAATGTTTAGATTGAATCTTTGATGTTATAGTCTCCAGGATTAAAAGAAAATACAGTATTTTTTAAAAGAACAAAGCTAAATGTTAC